AGAGATGTAACTATCTGCGATACTGTGGTCACTCTCCATGTAGCATCAATTATGCTAATGCTAGCTGCCTGTCGCGTTCTCTCGTCCTAGCCACACCTCCGCTCTCTAACCCCCTCTCCCCTACCCACACCCACTCCCCTACCCACTTTGATGCATTTTTCAAATTTCGCCTTGGGGTGGAGTTATCTTTTCACAGGGGGGTAAGATACACTTTAAACAGGTCCCGTTAGCCATGCTGTGGTTAAAGTTAGGGTTAAGGCTTAATGCTAAGTTAGGCTAACTGCAGATTGCTCCTCTTGATTAGACTTGGTGAAGATTTAAAAGCACATAAACACGCTTTCTTATTTTAATTTGTTTGTTATTCTTGTTTTTTTATCACAATTTTTGATTCCCTACTTCTTTTTTGGATTTAAAATAAGAATGACACAAACAACGCATCATTCTTCTGCTTGTGTTTGAGGTACACTGTACGATGAACAGAAAGAAATGCTTGCAAACTTTAGGGGAAAAAGATTGTGTTGAGTTGAACATTAGGTGACCTGACTGGCATTTTGATGGGACCCATGTTTGTTTTTCTACAATTTCAGTTTAGGGTTTTTTTTTTTCTTTGCAAATTTTTACAGAAAGCTGTTTGACTTTGGGTGTGATTATGTCATACTCGAGTTTTAGAGCTGTAATTTCCCACAGTTTTAGCTTTCTTTCTATTCCCACAACCGTTTTATATCAGTTTATTTTTTGTCTTCTTTTTGTYTAGTTCCCTAATGTGTGCCTTGTTACTATAGGATTACAGGTTTCCTCAAARATCCCCCCMGAGTGCAGAGTGCACACATTATTATGCACTTTCATTATGTCTGAGATTAAAAGATACTTTTGAAAACAGGAGTCCTCCTATCTCTTGACACAGAAAAAATATATGTAGGAGACATATAGATTTACCTGCCATTTACAGTTCAGGATTTCAATTTTTTCAACAGGAATGAAGTACAAAGTACCGTTTGTCTGAGTTTTACTTTCTGGCCTGCATTTCTCTCTGCTTGTCCAATGGAGACTGCTGTCATAGTATCTTAAACACAAGCTACAGCTTAAACTTTTCTAATGTTTTTGTTTTTTCTTACCTCTTTTTATACAGTTCATACAGTAACACAGTAGCATTTTATCAGTTTCAATAGCGACAAAGGTAAGTCTCAAATGATATTTGGACTTTAAAAAAAGATGGATGCTGGAACTTTGAGCAGTACCTGCAATGGCACCATTCAAAATTTTTATTCTTAAATTGTTATACTTGTCCTGTAATAATTTTCTGTGTCTATTAGGGCAAACAGCTTATTTACTAATGGACGCCTTGTGGGGCTTGACTTCAAAGAAAGAACTTACACAAGGTAAAGGGTTCTGTTTAAAGGAGCTATAAGGGTTTAATAGGTGGTAAAGTAAAGATGGAACTGTTGGCATGTACATACCCAGTGCTGGACTCATAGTTCTGTCCAAGATGGCAGTCCTCTGGAGGTGAATCTGGATCGTACCAAAAGTCAGGGAAGCAGCGATCACCTTCTATGTGGGACCGCTCAAAGCCATAGTCACTGTAGGCACACAACTGAGTCTTAGTTCTGTGAATTTTTGTTTTCATAGAAGCATTTAAGTAAAAAAAAGGACAAAGATGAAGCTCTAAAAATAACAGCGTGTCAGGGAAACTTGCTTTGCTCATCAGGTTTATAAAAGACAAAAAATCAAACTTTTGTTAGTAAAATCCATATCTGATGGAAAGGTGTTCAGTTCTGGGTTTTTTTTTTTGTTTTGTTTTTTTGGTGACTTACCAGTTGAAGTCTCTTTCTGTGCACTGGCAGGGCTTGTTGGTTAGAGCTGAAGTGTAGCTTTTCCCTTTAATGCAAAATGAGGTCTCTTTTCTCTTCCTGAAAGTTCGCTCTTGGCCCATAATGCACTTTTCTCCCTAAAAGTGAATWAACCCACAAGATCATAAAAAAACACTTCTAATTACCATGTATAATGTATGTATATAATGTAATGCAAGATCAAGTTTGAGTCTGTAAAAATGACTTTAGATACATGACAGAACAGATGGACTTCACAGAATTCCTGTGGTACTGCAACACAACTTCTAAATGTTCTCAGTACTGCGCTAGAATTTGCTCATGTTCATTACCTTCAAGTCTGTGAGCTGCCAGGACTCGTAATCGGACTCGGTGCATTGACGAGRGAAAGACTGTCTGAAGTCCACTTTSACSAGCTCCCAGTCTGATCTGTAGCTGATGTGGCCAAATACACTGCAAGCATAAACACGCAGAAAGCACCTATTATTGATGAAGTACAAAAAGACCATCTTAGCAGATGTGTTTTGTTAAGATTGGTTCCAAATCCAAATCTGATTACACATGTGAAACACATACAGTATCTCCAGCTGGAATGCAGCTTCGCTTCTCTGAATTTGTTAGAACTGACAGAGTTTCACTTTCTATATTTCTCCACTAGATGAGGCTGTTCTCCAGCTCAACACAGGGGTGAACATCATTCTAAATCCTGAAAAAAGCTGCCTCTTTGTGTGTGTCAGAGCACTCTTTTTACAGCAGACTGATGTGACTCAAGTCAATGACTTCAGCATATGTTATTCTGCCAGTGGTGGCTCACGATCACCTTGTTGAAGTGCAAGGCAAGCATGACTAACGCGGTCTTCCACGGGACGGTTAAAGGAAGTGATGAATGAATGTCTTCACTRAGAACTCTCATGCTGCTGCCTCTCCACTTCCCTCTGGTTTTATCGGATTGCTTCTCTGGGTTCASTGTGGCTTCATTAAACTGCTCCACATTCAAATCGTACTCATAAGGGCTTCTTCCAGGTCTGTTCAGGTTTGGGTTCACTCCAAATATCGTAATTGTTGCAAACGTTCCAAGAAGGTCATCCTTAGTTTGAGAAGTTTTTGTAAGGCTTCCTTCCCTGTGCTCACATAATTAGTGTTTTCTTGTGACACATTTGTGGAATCTCTTTTATATAGTGCATCTGACTCTGGCACAAATCTCTTGTACCACTTGATGCACCTGAAAGGTATCAGGTCTGTACTAGACTGGACGACCTTGTCACAAGCATAGCCAGTCCTGATTAAGGTTCTAGGCATTCAAGCCAAGCCAGTACCACCAGGATGATAAACCACAGCCTCAGTACGGACGTTTGGTGAATACTCAAAACATCATGGACCTAACCCTAACCCCAAAACTCTGTAAATACTAACCACACTGTGGCTGTTWATGTRTGTCATAGCAAGGATATTATTTGAAGAAAAAWAAGGTCTAATTACATTTTCACATTCTCTTGTGTGTCCATTTTAAAYGTTGGTGTATAACTCGCATTGTCCTTTACCAAAGTACTGTGGAGTATTTGAGACGTACATAAACTTGTGTTCCTTTATGATTTCCTCTCACAGTCCAATCATACTTCGTTCCTCAATGTTTCATCTTTACTGATAACTTAAATCAAAAATTTCACTATTCAGCTAATTTTTCCTGAACTGTCATCATTCTTATGTACCACCAATGGCAAAAAGGTCAAAGAAACTGTGGCCACGTTGAATATATTAAATTACTTTGTTGTGAAACAGAGCTCTCACACTTATAAGAAATTCAACAAGCTACATTTTCATCGATGTCAACCCCTTTCAACTTTCACCAGTATATTGACCCTAAAAATTTTGTAATTTTCACCAAAATCCAGAACTCACACACGACGGGGAGGTGGTGTTTTGTGAAGCAGACTGTTGGCCACTGGGACAGACAGAACGTGGGGCRGAGATAACGGTGTTGGGGAGAGGTGGTGAACTTACAGCAGCAGAGTTTGAAGTTGGTGAGGTTAGTATTTAATGTTTTTTTCTCTCCAGTCCTACATGCTTTGAGACAATTTAAAGCTTTAAAGCAAGAAGTTTTGAAAAAAATACTTGAAATATAAAAAAATCCGCAAGATTTCTCTATACATTTGTTTTCCTGCAAAATGGGTGAAAATCCATGTAATTCCCAGGCAATCTGCACACATCTTAACATGTATGCATTTTTAAAATACATCTTCTTTCCCTTTTCCTTTGCACTGGTTTCCTGAAGCCTCAGAGGTWATCCAGCAACTGTGTTTTCCAGTTTTGAATTGGCACTCAAGCTCTACAAGAGCTCTGTTAGTGGACAAATCATCGCTCGTTATCTGTTCCCCTCATTGAGAGTACGGAGCTAAGGATGGGAATCCACCATTAGGGGATGTGTTCAGAAGTCATTTCCTGRAGAGTCTTTGGTGCAAAAYGAGAACAGACACAGAGAATGAAGTGTTTCCTTTTTGTTGTACKTTTCTTGCRGTTGCAGAGTCTAAGAAACTATGAGAAGCAAAGAGTTTAGCAGCTGCAGAATGGGCTGAGATGATCTCATACTACATGCTGTGCAGTAGAAGCCCATTGTTAGTCTGTTCAGTATTTGACCAGCTGTCATTAGTATGAGTGCTGTATGAGCTCTGATTCCCCACCTGTCCTTGGCGCTAAGTCACTGTTCAAAGACTTCATTATGGGATGGCAGRCTAGGCTGTCAAAAATCGAAACTCTATGGTTAGGAAATAGACCCTGGATAATCTGTCAGACATGAGCTGCCCTCAACACCCTTCGCTGGTCATCGACCCTATCTCACTAGAGCCAGATGGGCAGCATACAGTCTACAKCTTTTTTTCAACCCACTGAGCGTGTGCTCGACATGGGAACTACCTCTGAGTGAACGTATGAGCTCCAGCATAGCATCTTTATACGTCTGTCTATGWACATGTGTGTGTGTGACGATCTCTTTGCCCTTCTCAGCAGATTACAGCTGGAAGGCAGCCTTATCTGTGAGCCGGGGCTTGAAGCCTAAGATGATGTGACAAGTCTCACTTCAGTTAACTTTACTGATGGAGAGATTAGGAAAGGAGAYGAGTAGACTTTMTGGTTAAAAAATAAATAAATAAAAGAAAAYTGAAGCCAGTTATAGGCTAAAACTGGTAACTGTTGACTTTAAATGTGCTGCATTTCTGTAAATTTTGATGCCAAAAAGTGGTTGGACTGAGATTTGCATCACATAATAAAATATAAGAATGCTTTTGTCCACAGAAKACAATAAATCTGAATAAACTCGAACTTTTAAAGCATACTACTTGGAAAATGGCTGTACTATAAAACAC